AACATTCCTTTTCCAAGCAAACCGGAGAACTTGGCAAAATGCTGTCTTTACGTGTAACTAAAGAAAGGCGGAAATGTTTCCATTTCAGAAAATTTGAAGGGACATTTCAAACGCTTCGGAGGGAAATTCAGTGAAGTCATAGTAATGCAGCTGTCATGTCTACAAGTTTATGGAAAAGTAAGTAAATCCCAGGATGCTAACTTGTGCTCTGAAAGGAGCCTTTTTAACTCGTTTCAACCATTTCAGACAACCTCCTTATCAAACTTGTTCTTGTTTTTAGCTCATATTTCATTAGCTTGTTTAACTGAATTTAGCTTCTTTTGTTGATGACTTTGAAATTTTGTTTTTATCAAAACAGGCCTATCTCATAAATGAAATGTTAATGAGATAACCTGTATGAATAAAGGTCAAATCAAATAGAAAAAAAAAATATTAAAAAGTGGTTCTTCTGTGGCTTCCTGAAAAGCATGGCTGCATCTCCATTCACCATGGAATTGCGCAATTGGATATTGTGAAAATAAATTTGCTCAATGGAAACACAAATTTGGAAAATAATAATAATAAAAAAACTCTCCTTTTGGCACCAGGTTGAGATGTTTTTTTTTTGGTCGTATAGAAATTGGTTCATGTTGCACCTTTTTCTGCGTCACGAGTCAAATGATCAACAACCGAAAGTTACTACCGGCACAAACCACAAAGAAGAAGACAACAGGAAGTAGTTGGAGGTTTATTAATGACTTACTGCATGAACAAACTTATTTAAATGGGATTTTAGTTGTGTTGATTATTTAGTGGAAAGACTGAAATTGTAAAATTGTATTTTCTTCTACACTAGCAGAATATTGAACTGACAGTTTCACGCACAGTGGAGAAAACTTGTTTTCTCCTTTGTGTCTGTAAACAAATACTTCTTGAAATTTTAAACATAAACTCACAGATTTATAATGTTCCAATTTGGAATTACCTGACTTTTCCCCATTTATCGCGATGAATGCACATCTCCCTTACTAATGCAGAACCTTTTCATTCAGGTGTTTTTCAGAGTGATAAAGTCCGATTTACGACACGAAACTGTGGAATCATTTAGGGTTATTAATTTACAAGCTCAAATTCGAAATGGGTTTAAACCGAACGCCATATCAGATGAAATCTTAAAACTGTCTGTTATCACACTATGATTTAGCTTTTCATCATTTCTGTTTATTCAAACAGTAACCACTAGACAAATCTTCTCCCTCAGGGTCTGTTGATCGCTAATCTATTTCCTGCATTGGGGAAACAGGCATGTGAATATCGTTTCTGCTCTGCCACTGTTACCAGGTTGGCATCGATGAAAACTTGCAGTCATATCATTATTAAAAAAGCACAAGAGTCATATTGAGAAGTATTTATGTTACAGACAGCTCACGGAAATACTGATGATCATCCAGCACGGCTGCTGGAACAATGCAGATGATGTCATAGGTGGGATTTGTGTGCAACCGCATTGAGATGCGATTCTGTTGAAATGTCCCACCGTGTCTCTGTGCATCTCTGCTGTGAACACTGCTGCTTGTACTGTTTATATAATGTTTAATAGTTAATATTAAAGGAGGTTTTGTACAACTCAGATTGTTAAATTCAGATTACATTGCAACCCCAAATATATAACACAGGAAAATCTGCACAACTTATTAAAGCCTTTGGTCAAAATGAAATGCAATAAACCTTATAGAGAACTATAATATGTTCAACGGTGTAGAGATGATTAGCTGTGCTGGAATGCAATACTAAATTCAAACTTTAGCATGTTTAGGACAAATTTATTGTTCAAGACAGTTTTAAAGATGAAATAATTCTGAATACAACACAATATAGTTTCTATTATAACTGTTAGAGAAAACTGTTTCTTTCGAATCTGACTTGCTGAAAAAACATTTATCTTATCGTAGTTTCTGCTTTAGGTCAGACTCACTAATTAAAACAAATATACTGTTTTTACTCTTATGTAAAGATACCAACATTACAATAGCTAGCCTTGGAAATTTCAACCAGGTTCTTTGAGATTATTCCTGTAAGAAAAAGCATGAAGTCTTACAGATTTAATTTTTTTTATGGTTTTTGCCAAGTTTAGAATATATATGTTTAGATGTCTAATCAGTGTGTGGACCGATTAGACAAAGGCAGAACTTTTTGGAAGGTGTTTATACCGTTTTGGTGCAAAAGTAACAGATGAAGCTTTAAGACTTGAGGCTGAGAGGAGGACAAGGTTTAGCCCAGTCTGGACCCAGAGACTGTGTGGCGTAGCTTTGGGTCAACTGTTGAAGCAAAGGAACAAAACTCTCTAGTGCTGCTGAGTTGGAACGATTCACCAACTAACAGTGGGGAAATATTTCCGCACGGTGATGTAAAACTCATTACCAGTTATTACAAAACACGTAATGGCTGGTGTTGCCACCAAGGAGGCACAACCAGTTATTAGATTTAGAGGGCAATTAATTTTTGTAATAAGATCTGGTTAGTTGGGACAGCTTTTTTTTTCACATAAGCAAATTAATTTATGATTTGAAAAAGTGTGTTTTGCATTTCAGTGATTGTCTCGGCCTGATGTTAAACGTGTTTGATGATCTGAAACATTTCAATGTGACAAAACAGCAAAAACATCTGTGAAGGAGAAACATGTTTTTACAAACCTGTGTTAATGAGCAAAGCTGCTAATTAGTCAAATCATCTTCTACTTAGTGACATGGACTCCTCCATAACGGCCTGGTCCTCACTTTACTAATGTACTACTGTAATATTTTTTGGCTTATAGCTTACAGGTTTGATTTTGTGTCCTTTACATCCAAGGGAGCCATAAGAAGAGGGCATTTTGGACAGAGGTAGTTATGTTTCCATCAAATTGTCATCCAAATTTTGAGCGAACTTTGCATAAAAGAAGAAAAGAAAAACGCAAATTGTTTTGAAGTGAATCAACCAGGCTACGCAAAGTGGGATTAGGTAATGAGCATAGCCATGATACACAGTATCTGCGTTTCCACTGACCACATAATGGTGCAGTTTGGCATTTCAAAAATAAATTTGCTCAATGAAAGCATGTCAATTATATATAAAAAAACTTTTTTAAGTAAAAAGTTTTGGTACTATGATAAGATGTTTTTTTTTTTGGCTGCATTGAAATTAGTTTATTTCACAAAGTGCAATGGAAACACTTTGTTCACATGACGCGAGTCAAACTACGAAGCAGAAGGTAAGTAGTTGGAGGACAATGGCCACATAACGTGTTTTTTAAAGGATTTATTGCATGAACAAACTTATTCGCATTTGATTTTAATGCTGTCTCTTATGTAATGGAAAAACTGAGATAATGATTTACAACTTTGTCATCTTCGCCAATCTTTCCTAATGCAACTTCAAAATGTGTCTGAAAAAATGTTGGTGGAGGAGTCGCTTCATTCAGAATTGCAAGATCCATCCAATCTGGCAATTCATTAGTTCTAACTACCTTCAATGGGAATTTGGAGATATTTCACATTTTTGTCAGCAGTTCTGGAGGTTTGAGGTTCAAAGTAATCGCATTTTCTGTATTTCATTTTTCTTAATCAGAAGCACAATAAGCTAAAAGCTATAAGAGTTTGGCTACAGAACTGCTATATATTTTCATAGTGTAGAATACTTCAAGCCTGAAAATATTACAGGACATATTTTTGACGGTGTAAAATACTCAAGCATATAATTTCTTTGCCGTTGTTTTTCACTCCTTTCTGAAAACCAACAGAACCCATGTGCATGGCTGCATGTGCGACGGCTGCTTGACACATTCATCCTTTGATCGGCTGAAACATGTTTAGATCTGTGACATTCCACGTTTTGAATCTCTGCAAAAGCAATATCCCGGCTTACCTCATAAATCTGACACAAATCCTTGGGAAACCTGCTGATCAGCGGCAGAATTTGTAAAGCCACTGTAGAGGATATAATAATATAACAGCACCGGTGTCGATTTGCTCAGCGAACAGAGGTAAAGTGTGCAGGTGTGAGGCAGGCTGCTTTGACGTAAAATCAGTTTTGTCACACTTCCATTCCAAATATGTCAAATTTATGCCTTGATATATTAGGTAATTAAGATACTCTTAATTGTATTTTGACAAGACAAACTACTGAGTTGTGTGGAGGCTGCAGATGAAGCTTTTTACAATGAACTGCTGAATAGCTCAGACATATTTCAAATAAAAAAATGACAAGTCATAAAATCAATTTAAGATCTCACCTTTTGCTTTTTGAAGATATCTGTCATTTTTACTCATCAAAATTTCTTTTAATATGAGTCTGAATGAGTTAGACAAAACTTAAACATGTTTTTTGTATTTTCTATTTCAATTATATTGGATTAGCATTTTGACTAGTATTGCGGAGCATTTAGAAATTTCAACAAAACAGTGAAAAAAAATAGAAGAGATTTTTTAAAAATGCACCATTTGTAGCTTGGAAATGGGTTGAAAGTAGTTCTTAGCTTTTCGAAGCTGGTTTTGAGTGTCAGAAGAGAAGAAATAGAAAATATTGGAAGCAGTCTTCAAGTTCACGAAGTTCCACATACCCTGTTCCACTGAGCTCTTTTTACGTTGCGACATTTTATGACAATTTGGTGCAAAAAATTCAAAATTCTGCAAGCAAGCGGCTGCAGGCAAGTCTAGAGTGCGACAGAAGAAACGCTTTCAAGATGGAAACGTTCGCAAGGAAAATGAACAACAATGGTTTAATTTTTTGACAGCTAAATTAGGAGTGATCTAGTGGATTTTTTTTTTCGTAACTCGGCAAACAAAAGCAGTGATAAGTGAGGCAGTCGTGTTACCAACACGTCTTTCAAGCTAGATTTTTTCTGTGTTTGTACCTTGATCTGTATTCCATTAGTATTTTGAGGTTCTTGATCTCGTTGCCCCTTTCCCTGCTATAAGTGAACTGGTATTGCTTTCTTCATCAACCTGCATGATGCCCTCATAAATACACAATGAGACAGAAAACAATTGATCAAGCTTACTGTATTTCAATGGCGAATCAAAGGAGAAAGACGCGCATTCAGCCATGCTCCGTCAGAAGATGGAAATGTGGTAGCACGCTTGGTGGACGGGTTGACTTTCTGTCTTGTAAAGCTGTCTTATTAGGTAAGAAAGAGGGGATCAGGACGACGAAGGAGAGGCGGCAGCAGACTGCTAGATTACTGTGTGGCACATCAGTGTTGCCTCTGGCTCTGTCACAACTGCTGCTATCGCTGCTGTCGGATGGATGACAGGAAAAAACAAGGGCAGTTTTAATGATTAGAAATGCTGACTAAACAGAGGTTTTGAGAAGCTGCTGTTTTTTAGTTGTGGGGAATTTAATACGTAAACAGTCAACGCGCAGTTAGAGCCAATGTTCTGTCATGCAGTTTTGCAGCTGTAGTTTGTTTTTTGAACCCACGATTCTGTCACACACTCAGGCCTTTAACTCTGAGTCTGTAACAACACTTGATGTCTAAATGTTTTCGTCTCACATTTCTGATTCGTAACTTGGGGCTGCACACATCAGCGTATGGAATAGAAATTGTGTGAAATCTGTGCTATTATCAGCAGCGTTTCAGCGTTGCTGTGGAAACATCATTTATATGCAGACATAATCCTGTGATGATTTTCACTCGCCTATCGGTGGGTTCATGATTTTTGGTTGTTGTTTGTGAAGGGAACAGAGAGGAGCCATTTTGTCCATTAAAACTGTCTTAGTTAATAAACAAAATCTGATGAGCTAAATGATGAAGGACACGCTTTGAGTTGCACATCTCACCTTCTCTGACAGGCAAATCAAGAAATCCGACATTAGACTCTCCACTCGGGCATGTCGGACCGGCACACAAGCGAGCCCGCCCGCCTACGCACACGTGGCGGGGACGCGGGGTACATCGCCGTCATTCCAATTAGCTGTTTTCACACTTGGCTAGTTAGCCTTGTATGCCTGTAAAAACTTCCATCTGTTTATGTATCACAACTTGGTGTTTCTCATCCCGGCTTTCGCAGGTCATTTAATCTGCCAGAAGGGAGTGGAGCTTCCACAGACGGCCGAGAGCGACTCCGTCGTGGTGGTGGAAGGCGCCGGTGACAGGAGGGCCGTGGCGGTTCTGGAGGTGGGAGATGCAGCTGTTGGCGGTGACAACTCCAGACGTTTCACCACGCAGCCGCGTGAGTCTCGCGCAGCTGCTGTGGATGGGAACGCTTCCACAGCCTGACATGAGCTGGTTATTTTTAGCAAGAGGACATTTGATGGCTTGATGAGGGTTTCAGTGCAAACGGTTTTAATTTTTGTTGTTTTTTTTTCCCCAGGAAGGATGACATGAAGCTAATCCCGCCATAAGACAGATAGACAGCTTCATGCTCGGTTTGAGGGAAAAACGTGCACAGTTCACATTCTTCCAACATGTCCCCAAACAGCTACGTCAGTGATTACCACAGAAGTGAAAATCATCTGCCTTAATTAAATGCCATAATCACAATTAGACTGACAGACTTTAGCAGTCCCACACACATTACTGCAGTAAACATACATGCGCACGCACCCCATCTGCAGCTAACAAGCTTTTATTGTTCAGATTAGTCCAAACCTGATTTGACTTACAATTTACTTACAATTTAGTTGCTTTTGTGACGTATGCCAATTTCCTTCTGAGTCTTATGCACAGTGTTGTTTTCTAAGCGGTATTTGCAAAGCAACAAAGATGGACAGTAATGGCTGATGTACGAATTAAACACTGGACGGTGACCAGAAAATGCTTTAGAGGCAATATTATGTCAAATAGACTCAGTTTATTTTGCTTTACATGTTGTTATAATGTTATTCCTTCATAAACGACATAAATGGAGTGTTACTTTGATTCTTTAATCTCCCATGGCAACCATGAAGTTATTCTAAATGTGTGGTGCTCCTTCAGACTAGCCAGCAGCAATTAGCAAAGACCTGGTGAAAGATATGTGGTCCATGCTAATTCGCAACCTACCCTTCCTGTTTATTGTACAGCATTAGCATTGGACAAAAATCAGCCAGGTGATGCGTTATTTTAAAAGTTTGCTCAAAATTTGCATGACAGTTGGATGAAAACGGGGCCACTATGAGCTGTTTTCAGTTCATCTGGAATAAACGCAGGACTCAAAACAATAAAGTCAAAAACTGAGTTCTGCTAGGCTTGTGGTATCTTCACTCAATTAAAACTGAAAGCAAATGAGAACGTCTCTCTTTTCACATTACAATCAGTCCCAATTTCTTCTGCTTTCCACCCCCAACGTCTGAACATTTGCTGTAAAAACTCCAAGAACTTATCAGAACTCCAAACATAAGCCAGTGGTGTGTGGCCTGAATACACAGCTCCCTGGTAAGGCTGAGGAAGTTGGGAATGTGCTCCATTACGTTTTTCTTTTTTTTTCTTTTTAAATATGACAAATTCTTATCTACAGCAAAGAAATTTTTCCTAGAGCAACTGTAAATGCTTTCAAGAACCGCAGTCTGAGTGTGAATTACTATCACGTTCAAGCGAGAGGGCAAGAGACTGGGAAGGCACCCAATTATTTGAAAAAGTTGTAGATTAAAGTATTACTTTAAACATGTAAAGAGATAGAGGAAGCGACACATAAGGAGCTGAGCTTGAGGCACTAAAGAATGGCTTGGGTATTCATTTCTAGGACTGATCAAACATTTTTTTAATTGACTCATCCGTGGGTGTCGGCCACTGCGTCCGCGTTACTTTCGCATTCTTCTGCAGCGAACCGATGCTGAACTTTCGGAGGTTTGGTTGAGCCGTCCGATCATATCCAGTCAGCATCACGGGGCTCTGTAAAGCGCAGTTTCTTTCTCTACATGTTGCTTGTTAAGAACCAGTTGCAAAAAGTGAAAAAATAAATAAATAAAAAACTAGAAAAAAGGAATATCTTTATTTTTCATGCATTGCATTTCCGTGTCTGTAAAATAGTTTGGTTTAAGACGAGCAGGAGGTGCTGCAGTTCTGCCAGCCAAAGCTTCTTTTTGCCACACATGGTTTCTCGTCGGTTGTAGATGATGATATTCCAGCTTGTGTAAGATTTCCACGGTGTCCTAAGGCTCTAATTGCCGTATGAACTCGGCGCTGGGTGGAATATGGGACAGAAACACGATGCCTTCACTGCCATGGTTGGCTCCTTCAGCAGGACAGCCAGGCACTTTGAATTTCTGCCGTTTTGCAGTTTGCCCAGTTTATATGAGGTATTAACAAGCCTGTCACAATAAACCAGAAATTAAGTAACTGGATAACAAATTAAACCAGGCTGGATTTTTTTAAAGGCGATTTTTGTTTATGGAGACTTAAGTATCCGTTTTATTAGTTGTTTCATTTTGGCTATTTAACATTTTCTTCCAGTTTCTCTGCTAAATGTCAGTTAGAAATGAAAGTTTATTGATCTTTGATGGGGTGTACTTGCATTATTATGCCATTGCCATTGTATTACTTGACAACAATATTACTGTAAACAATATTGCTGTTTATAGTAATATTTATTTTTTGTGATTTTGTCAGGCCTATGTATCATGTTTGCGTTTATGAGGAAAACTTGGATACAGGTCTATAAACTATCACCAGTCAGTATATTAGTAAATATTATGATGACCCTTAGCATTGTGGGGAACATTTATACCCACTGTAAATAATGACATCATTATGTAAAATCCAAGTTCACAACACTTCGCATATTTTAATCAACCAACAATTACTGCACACCAAATAGCTCTTTGTGATATAAATATTGTACACACTGATATTGTGCAGTCTAACCTTAGATTGTTTTAAATAATTTATTATAAAATGAAATCAACAATAGAAGGCATCACACATGTTTTGAGTCACTCTAAGAAAACATTCAGATAAATTTGAATATGTAAATATAATCAAGAGAACACCTTTTATTCCGACAGTTTATCACAATTTAATAACGTATTACATCTTGTTCACTTAACAATGTTCAGAATGATGCATGAATTGCAAAATACGTAAGATTTTTACATGACAAATGCTTTGTACTTGATTTGTGATTTGAGTAGCAGTGTTGGTGTTCATTGTCTTCGAGAGCTGGCGTCACTGCAGACACTCTTGTTTTTTTTTTGTTTGTTTTAAACAGGATTTTTCACAGTCAAAAAGACAATAATACCATAAAAAGTGCCTGAAACTGAAAGCCAAATGCTTAAAAATGGGACAGAAGGTATTGAGGGTTTAATCATGCAGAAAAGATTGTTGTGTTATGCTAAACCTTGATTAAATATTGACCGTTTCAGTCTGTGTTCCCTTTGTAAACTACGTCAACCATTAAATGTATTTTATTTCACAATTTCAAATGTACTAACAAGATGTTAAGATATTTTTATTTTTTTTATAGAAGCTGAAGTCCTTTGAGGAGAGTCCAATAAGTGGCAATGCTGTATTAAAAATAACATTTGTATCAAAGCGTAAGTTACATTTGACATCATTTTCTATCACGATTGAGGATTAGAAAACTTTGAAGGTTAAGAGATTCTATTGGCACAGTGAAAATGGATTTTTAGAGCCTCTGTGTGTGGACAGATGGAGTAAAAAATTTCCTCAGTGCGTCTGACCCATTTCACAAAGCAGCTGATTTATTTCTATAAAAAAGGAGGAAAATTAACAGAAATTGACTGATAGATATATATACATATATATATATACATATATATATATGTATTTTTATCTGCAACACATTTCTTTGGCCTATTTATTTAGGAAATACAATCCAACAGGTAAACCCATGCAAGGCTGTTTCAACAGTAGCATCAGTGGAAAATGCACACAGTGATACAAACTTAGCTACAAATGAGAAGAGTTAGCTACAAAGACGCTACAAATAGAAGACTTCAGTCTGCAACAATGTAACACTGCTAGCGTCATTTAAAAAGGGGTTAGTGGCGTACATTTTTTCAGTTTTATATTGAATATATGGACAGATATGTAGCTATTTTGAGAGCCTATTGCAGAGTGTCAAAACGGTTTGACACTGTGACACTTTTTAAAAGTACTCAAAAATACTCTCAGCTTAAATCTTTTCTTAAATTAAACAAAGAAATTCAACTTTTTGCAGCAACAGGGCCAAAATTTAAAATACATTTTCTTTATTAAATGAAAGGCAAGCAGTTTGCCCGTTGTTTTGTTGCAAAGCTGTGCCCCGCTGTATCGACACAAGAAGGTCAAAATTTGCACCAAAACATAAACAGAACCCTAAATAACCTATTCAGACAGTTTATCAGCAGAAAAAGAGAAAGAAAAGCTGATTTGGGATTAGTTTCAATTAACATTTTCCAGGAAAATGGGTCCTTCTATAGTGAGTGATATTTTAATTAATATCACTAATGTTACACTTTGTACATCTAGATTTCAACAAGGACTAAGAAGTATTCCTTTCAATGCACGCGCAAATGATCTAAAAGTATGCATTGTGCTTCTTGGACAGATCATGTAGTAAATTTCATTTTTCTGCAATGTAAAGTCAAACTGATGCAGGTTGTGCATATTAACTAGCCACATATGAAAGCTTCCACCACTGTGTCTTTTCTCCTATTTGCTTTATGAGTGATGTAGTGGGCCACTGATCAGTCCAAAGTTTAACCGTAGGTGTGGGGTGATGCTAACCCGCCAGGGTTAGCGACATATTCACCGTAAGGCTACCTCTGCTGTCTGCCGGGGCTGCAAACATGCCACTCTGTTTGCACACACCAACACATTTGTCTACCTGTCTGTGCCTGAGTTAAGTGTGCTGGCAGGGCTACAGCTATTAGACTGCGCCTGTTCATCAAAGCCCTGCACCCAGACAACCTTGTCGCCTGGCAACACGAGCGAAGTTCACCAAGGGTAGACCAGACGCAGAAGGAAAAGAAAACAGACAGAGGAAGAAAGGGCAAGCTCCACCTCGCCTTTTTTTTTGTACCTTTTGACTTTCACTCAAAGCGATACAGACAGATGTTGACTCCGTTTTTTTTTTTTTTTTTTTTTTTTTTTAAAACAACAAAAACCTACAGTTCTGCGGCGCTTTGCAGTGGCGAGGCGTCGGCGCCCTGTTGCTCGACAGAAATATACCTCGCTCCACACAGACAGAGCCGCCGCGTTCCCCCAATC